CATCGCATGTTTACACATCGCACCAGATACTCATTTGAGGCCGAGTCGACCTAAGGGAGGTCCAGGACCGGTTCAGATAATCGTCACCCACCGCTCCCGCAGGCTGCAACAAGACACACAAGTTCACTTCAATGGTTGAGTTCACCAGCAGCAGCGGGAGGGGCTGCAGGAAGCAACAGAGACACTGACAATCTGGCTATCCGCACGTCACCAACAACCTGTAACCCAAGACACGGTGGGTTGGTGGTAGGGAGAAATAACAAAATAGTCCATGCTCCTGCTGCTGCTGCTGCTTGCGGCTGCTGCTTGCGGCTGCGTTGACACACATTGTCTGTGCATGGGCCGGCCGAGGCGAGGCGTGCTGTGGGATTGATTGTAGGTGGTGTGTACTGGGCGAGGCACTAGGCTGGACCTGCTTCTCAACACCACTGTACCCCTACTGTACCCACACCCTCCCCAGGGAGGCACGTGGCGTACTGTACAAAAAAAAACCTCCTAAAGATCTTCCCCGTATAGCCATCGGGGCAAGTGCTGTAAGCGAGCACCCATGAAGGCCGGCACGGCACACGAGAGGTGGGGGGGGGGGGGGGGGTGGCCAGCAACACCACCGCCGGCCGCCTTTGTCTCCCTAGTGGCGATGTTTACACGCCGCACCTTGCACTCGTTTGAGGCTCAGTCGGCCTAGGGGGAAGCCCCGGGACCGGTCCAGATAATCCTCACACTGCTGTTGGGCCGTGAGCGGGAATCAAACTCGGGACGACGGGATCGTAGCGCAGCGCGCTATGCGTGTACGCGCACAACGATACGGTGACATGGCATTCCTAAAGCGCCTTTCCTAAAAGCTCTTCAAAGGCGTTGAACATCCAAAAATGTGCAAACGATTCGTTGGCCAAGTGGAGAAAACTAAAACGTAAAAAAAAAATCTACGCAATATATAAAAAAAGTAATTAAGAGAGGTGGGTGTGGTGAGAGGGGGAGGTTTAAAGCACCACCCGCCCCGCCATATCCATTGTCTCCGAATCGCGGACAGCACTGAGCAAAGCGTTACGAATCGGCTATCCCCGGCCGCCATAGAAACGTGGAATTTCCACCACTGGCTTGTGGACCGCAAACAGGAGATGAGAACCACTGCCTCGATGCTCCGTTTGAGCAGGAAATCGCTGCTCTGCGCTTTCTCTTTGTGAGATTTCGCATCGTACGTACACGCGACTAACCCCATTTCTACCCACAGATTTCGCTGTAGAGTATGCGGGTTTGAATTCACTCCAAATGCGGCTATGCGGTCGGACATGGCACAAACGCTGTGTGTACTGTATTGTGTGTGTACCGTGTATACTGTGTGCCGTGTGTATATGTACTGTGTATGTGTACCGTGTGTACTGTGTATATGTACTGTGTGTGTGTACCGTGTGTACTGTGTATATGTACTGTGTATATGTACTATGTGTACCGTGTATATGTACTGTGTGTGTACCGTGTATATGTACTGTGTGTGTACCGTGTGTACTGTGTATATGTACTGTGTGTACCGTGTATATGTACTGTGTGTGTACCGTGTGTGTACCGTGTGTACTGTGTATGTGTACTGTGTATATGTACTGTGTGTGTACCGTGTGTACTGTGTATATGTACTGTGTGTGTACCGTGTGTACTGTGTATATGTACTGTGTGTGTACCGTGTGTACCGTGTATATGTACTGTGTGTGTACCGTGTGTACCGTGTGTACTGTGTATGTGTACTGTGTATATGTACTGTGTGTGTACCGTGTGTACTGTGTATATGTACTGTGTGTGTACCGTCTGTGCCTTGTGTAAAGTGAGCGCTACTAAGCAGGCAGCTGTCTCGTGCGGTGCATTGTGGGTTGGGTGACCGTTCGCTCACCGCTCCGCGATTTCGCTTTGCGCGACCCCGCTTTGCGCGACCCCCTCCCCCCCCCCCTAATTTTTAGGAACACATCTACTACCGCATTAAGCGAGGGGGAGAGCCGCACATTGACTTGATTAACTTCCCCCGCGTGACGACAAGGAGGTGTGCGGATGCACAATCCAAGGAGGCCTGCCACCCCCCCCCCAACCTTCCGGTTCGAACCTGTGTAATTTAACAACACATTATAATTCTCTTCCCACCATCACCAACGAGCGTGCACAGCACACACAGCTCGACAGTGGCTTGTCCAGAAACGGCTAAGAAGCTGGGTTTGGGAACGCAAAAAAAAACACACATCGGATATCGGGAGGCCACGACGAATCGACGCATTTTTACGTAAAGCCAGCGAAACAAGAGACATCAAGTCACCTGCCCACGTGAGTGACTGGAGATTGCCCCTGACAGACAAGCGCGGAGGTGTCCCACTCCAAGAATCGGGGGTAAAAGACCACACAGGCAGGGGTGAGAGGTCAATTGCCGCGACTCTGAGCACTCGCTAAGCCTGGCCGGGCACAAATTAATTCTCAACCTAAAAAGCCGGCGTGCCGTGAGCACGATCTCGCTGCCCACGGGTGGCCAGCATAATGAAGATTATCCTCGGGACTTCAATCAGAAAGGTCGGAATTGCATCTCGCTCGAGAAGAAGCGCGGGCGAGTGACTGGATTTTCCACGGTGCTTACGAGTTTTTGTTTCTGCATCGGAGGCGTGTGGTCATTGTCCACCGCGCCCTTTTACTTTGTGAACTCGGGGAAGATTTTTTTAATTTTCTAACTACGGTGGTGACATTTGGGCCACGTGAAGTCACTCAGGAGCATAATGACCGTCCATGCAGTACCGTATCATTCATCATAATCATCATTATCTACGCTTAATCCACTGCTGGACGAAGGCCATTGCTGTAAGCTGCTGCCAAGCCCAAGTAACGCAACGCAGCCGTGACGCAACGCTCCTGCGCACGAGCCGACTCAGAGCAGGTACCAAGGGGCACGGCCGGAGTTGGTCAATCGGCACAGGTTGCGGCGTGTGGTGGTGGTGGTGGGGTTAAGTATGGGTACTCCCCACAAAATACCCCCTCTCTCAAAGGGGCTCTCTCTCTCTCTCGAGAGAGAGAGAGGTCTCTCTAGCGCAGGGGTCGGGGAAACCCCAAATAACAAGAAGAGCAATTTTTTTAGAATTCGGTATAAAAAAAAACACCAATGTTTCAAGAGCCGCAATGCACGTGAATACGAGACAGACTTTCATCTGAACCGATCATGAGCCTCCCCTATGTCGACCCAGCCTCAAACGAGTACCTGGTGGTGTGTAAACACCGCGACCTCTTGAGACAAAGACATTGATGTTGGCCACAGCCCCTCCCCCCCCCCTCGTGTGCCGTGCCGGCCTTCGTAAATGCTCGCAAACAGAACTTGCTCCAAGTCTGTTACAGGCTACACGGGAGATCTTTTTCTTTGTGAGAAATCAAATTTGTGCCAATAACCCTCGGTTAACCCACAACAACCCTGAGTCTGTCCCGTGCTCTGCTGTCAACAGCGAGACTCGCGCACTTCACGTGACGGCCTCAAAGTGCACCTAGCCTGGCACGCAAGTGCTCTGGTGACGTCACCGCCGCTGAAGTGGTGAATGGCGGCTGTTGGCTTTTTTGCTTGTCATATTTGTATGACCTTTTTAACATTGGGCACGGGTTTTTGTAGTCAGTTACTTTCCGGAGCGTCTCATGATCCAGAGAATACAGTAAAAGCCGACACCAAATACAAAAAAAACACGGAATTCCCTTTCAAGGTTACTGCAGTGGCTGTTAACGTAGTGGGGGCAAACATCACCTACTACTTCCAGTTGACACCATTGCCTGCCATAACAAGCTTTACGCTGTGAGCTTACATTAAACCTCAAGGTGTGGCGTAGCACAAGCTTCACTGCTGAGAGAGAGTGTTAACGAGGCGGTGAGGATTAAAATATGGTAAGATGGTAGTTGAATTAACACACCGGGGCTTTAAGCTTGCCAGTGGTGAAGTAAATGAATGCGATTTCATCAGTTGCATTCCTGACATTGCTAAATTTCACTCAGAGCCACGCACAACCGGAATGCTATCGAATCGATGGATCCACTCACAATCACTCCTCCGGATCCTGATCGCAAGCAAGTCTGATTAAACAAGACGGCGAATGTTGACGGTAACCATTAGCGGCCATTGTAAAATGAAGGGCCCCCGGCCCGTTCCCATGATGATGAAACAAAAAAAAAACTCGCGTTCGTCGAAAACACTGCGGCCTTAAAAGGAAATATATTTATAAAATAGGTGACGTTTTGGGCAATTTGTCCTCCTTTGGAAACCTGGGACAGAATCCAGAATTTTTCGCAAAAGCTTCGGGTCACAGGGACAAGCCGTTATGAAACCACCGGGGACTGTCCGGGCCAAGCCAGGAGGACAGTTTTGGTAGCTTCACCGTTCGGCCCCAATCATCCACGTTCACACCTCAGCAGACGTTACTACTCGCCACTCACCTGACCACTCGCCCAACCAACCCTTGCAGTCACAATTAGAGCAACCGGAACACGTGTGGGCGATATTTAGCTGACGCCAAATCCGAATGAGCAAATAAACAGGCCTTTGTCACTCCACTGCTGCATGATGTTATCTACCCCCCACCACCTCCCCAGCCGTGTCAGTTATGTTCACAAGCAGCCAGACACTCACCTCGCCTGGTATACGGGAGGTCGTAGGTTCTATCCTGACCCTTGTATATTTGGAGTTTGCATGTCTCTCCCCCGTGGCCGTGTGAATTTTTCTCCAGATCCTCCGTTTTTTTTTTCCCCCTCCGCATTTAGTATCAACTTGCGTTCAGAGTATTTGGCCGCTATAAAATGTCCACATGAGAATAAGCCACTCAGTTGGGGCCTTACCCGGTTAAAATTAAAAAAAAGTTCTTACTTGACGCTCACCCATCGTCGCGACAGCACTTACCGCAAGCACGATGCGCGACAAACGCGCCGTACTTAGCTTCGCGCCGTGCGCGGTTCCTCTTTAATCTCGCGCGTCACCGGCGGCGGCGCCACGCGGGCAGAAAGGATACATTTTGACGGCGCCGGACTTGGTACCGATGGCCATGAGCCGCAGGTCGGGGTCGTAGGCCAGCGCGCTGGGCTGATGCGGGAAGCCATGCTCCACGGTCTGCGCGGACAGAAGCGACGGGAGAGCAGAAGCTGAAGCGTCGGTTCTCGGCGGCGACGCGAACGGGGGGCGGAGGGGACAATTCCAAACCGTCGGTCAAAGAGGCGGCGGCTGCTGCGCGAGCGGAGCTAACGGCTCGACGATCGGTACCCCGCTGGACGGAGGCGCGACAGTCGGCCTGGATCCTCTTGCGCGTGGCTGGTTGTCGTGGTTCCCAACCTTAGGCATTCGTCGAGGCGTATCCATCTTTTTAATAATAATATAACAATAATTTTTACTTGCTGCTCCATCGCACCTGGTATTCACTCAAAAAGAGAGATGATGAACTCAGAGGTGTGCGGGGGAGAGCCAGCTCCAAATTCCCGCCCCCCCCCCCGCCCTACCAATTTCCGGAACGGTGGCTTCAAAAGATTACGACTCACTTTACACGTTCCAACGGGAAAGCAACTTCTGACGGATAGTCTGCAGCTCGTTCAAGGGCAAGAGCGACATCGCCAAGACTGTTTTACGAGGACCGGTGTGCTATGTTGCACCGGTGTACCGCCGATACGTCCATTTCTCCATTGATGAAGGATGTGACCACATCTGTCATGCCCTTGTTCTACAGAAATGTAGAGCTGACCACTGTATCATCGTGCGGAAGGCAGAAACTGGGAATGCAAACCGAAGCTTGGTTAGAGAGCTTACAAGAAACTAAACTAGTGTTTTTATTTTACCACGTAAGGCCCACTGAGCTTTATAGCTATTTTTCAGAAACGACCTGGTCACAAATGGTGGCTCAACGAAGTGGCTTATCACGTGGAAATTTATAGTAGCAAAATAATCTAAACACATGAATTTTGATTTAAAGCTTTCGTGACTGCAGTAATTCATATTCTTAGTTTTTTCGGTAAAGTCACGTTGAAGAGAAACAACAAAATAATAAAATGAAGACGACCGTTTGAGTTATGGTCGAAACGTCGTGATAATTTTTTTATTGTTTTATATATATTTTATTATTTTGTTGTTTCTCTTCAACGTGACTTTACCGAAAAAACTAAGAATATAATCTAAACACATGTTTTTAAATGTGGAGGGAAACACCGGAGGACGTGGAAAAAAATCCACACCACCACAGGGAGAGAGAACACGCAAACTCCAAATATAGAACAGGCATCAAGGATCGGGATCGAAACCATAACCTTCTGTATACCAATACGTCACTAAGTGATGGTGATGTCACCACGGCGCCTCTGCCAGGCCAGGTGCACTTTGAGGCCACGTGAAGTGTCAAAGGCTCACCGACAAGAGGTCACGGGACAGACCCAGGTGCCGTGAGTTGACCGACGGAGATGACTGGCAGATGCACCACCTGTGCCCTCTACGGTGCCAACTCGCTGCATTTTAGCCGCCCGGCGCTCCGCTAGTTGTTGCGAGCATCGCTCCTCTGCCCTCCGTTGTTGTTAGGAGGGCGTCTGCCTCCAACTGACCTACAGCGTCCTTCACAAGCTTCCTCCTGTATACCAGTAAGGTGAGTGATGAGCAGGCCACGCCAGCACATTGCTCCTACACGGGGACGGGTGTCTTTGTGACGGCGGTGTGGAATGAGTCACCTTCATTCGCGTCGTAAGGACGGATGTGCCACGGGGGGGGAGGGGGGGGGGGGTGGCTGTGCCGCGCGTGTGTGTATGCGCGCGCGACACAAGTTTCGTTGGCACGGGACCCAGGCTACCTCCTACCTCTGTTCGCTGTGAAAATGTTCCCCCCCCCCGGTTTGGAAAAATACCCACACATACGGACGTGATCTATTTAGCTTCCCGTATCCATACGGCGTCTCGAATTGTTGAGTGAAATCAATCGGCGGACAATACGCCTCCCTGCACGCGTCCGTCTCCCTCCAGGTAATAATAATAAAAAAAACGAAAACAAGACGTCTATAAAAAAAAAAATTGTTACAAGATTTGAGGACACGACAGCAGACATGGCGAGTTAAATAAAAGCGTGTAAAAAAGCGCACCCCATCGGCCACACGGCCCTCTGGGAATACTTCATTTGAGGAGCGGCAATGCTTTAATAAAACGCAAGCAAACTCTGGAACGGGTTTTCGACCTTCAGTGTCTCATCGGATAATCAGGATTGCTTAAATCGATGGTGGTGAACTGCCAGACGTTTATAGGCAAAGAACCCCCCCCCCTCCTCCACTCTGTCATAGCTTGATGCAAAACTATACAGGTAGTCCCCGACTTACGATGGAGATGCGTTACAACGACCCCATCGTAAGTCAAAAATATCGTAAGTCGAAAATGGCCTAGCCTACCCAGGAGTCTTAAAGAATGGTGATAATTGAGCAAAACAGAGCAATTTACAGTACCGTACTGTATAAACTATATACCGTATGCATTTATTAATTACAATACTGTATTGCACAGTAAAATTTAAAGTAAAAAACAAGGTCAATTCTTAGCCTACCTATATGAACTGCAATTTCATAGAAAGCTTTTTTCAGGAAACAATCCTATCTGCTATTAAAAAAAAAACTTTTAACATGCATTGAACGTATGTATCGTATCATGGTAACCCTAAAATGAAATTGTTAAAGCTATGTTTCATACATGCATTGAACGTATCGTAACGTATCATATTCTACTGTACTCACCACAATATTCTGTCCGTTGTCTGCATACTTGAACGATGTCAGGTTGTTGATGGCTACATTAACTTAGTTGTCGGAAGAGGAGGATGGCGATGATAAAGTTACAGTATCGTACCTCGTCGTACGCTGTTGCGTTTGCCTGCCGCGCGAAATTAAAAATATTTTACAATTTTGTCATATCGCTATCGCCATCGTAAGATCTTAATATCGTAAGTCGGACCATCGTAAGTCGGGGACTACCTGTGTCGTAAGTCGGGGACTACCTGCATAACGCGCGACGCAAAATCGACGGTTGATTCGCAAGTCGTTGGTCGATGCAGCCGATGGCGAGAGACCGTTTTTTATTTCAGCTGCACGCGTAACATTCCACGCGAGGGTCTAAAACAGGGGTCGGCAACCTATGGCTCGCGAGCCAGATGTGGCTCTTTTGATGACTGCATCTGGCTCGCAAATAAATCTTAGCTGACATTTCTTAACATGATAAGTAATGAATAATTCCGCTGACATTACAGTAAAACATTACAGAAATCAGAGTGTTAAAAATAACGTTTAAAATATAAAACAGTCTCATGCATTTTAATCCATCAATCCATTTTCTACCGCTCCGGCTCAGGGTTGCAGGTGGCTCAGCCAATCCCAGCTGTCCGACACCAAAACTCTATTTTTATTGGATAATGCGGTCGTTGTGAGGTCAAGAAGTAAACTTCCATCCTTTTAATCAAATAGTCAGCTAGCTAATTTATGCAGAGCAAACCCTTTTGATGAAGAAGATGGCGAAAAGAAAAAAAGATGAGGGGTACCGCACATTTCAGCACGAATGGACAGACGAATTCGCCTTTGTGGAGAGAGCAGGTTCTGCGGTGTGTCTAATATGCAGTGATACAATTTCATCGATGGAACGGTCAAATATAAAGCGGCACTTCGACACACGCCATGCTACATTTCCATCGAAATATCCAGCGGGGGACAGCAGAAAGAAGGCATGCCAAGAGCTACTGTCCAGAGTGCAAGCTAGTCAGCAGCAACTCCGTGTAAGGACCAGACAAGGTGACGGGAAAGCCATTCACATAGCGGATAGCTTTACTGGTCCTTTAGCAATTGCGAGGAACGGAAAGCCATTCACAGATGGCGAGTTATGCCTAAACATTCAAGCTTGATGTGGCCAACGAACTTTTTGACGACTTTTCGGATAAAGACAAGATAATCAAACGAATAAAAGACATGCCTCTGTCAGCAAAAACTGTTCACGATCGTACCATAATGATGGCAAATCAAGTGGAGGAAACACAAGTGAAGGACATAAATGCAGCGCCATACTTTTCCCTCGCTTTGGATGAGTCAACAGACGCAAGTCATTTATCCCAGTTCAGTGTGATTGCAAGGTATGCTGCCGGTGACACACTGCGTGAGGAAAGTCTTGCTGTTTTGCCAATGAAAGGGTCAACAAGAGGGGAGGATTTATTCAAGTATGTCATTGCGTTCGGTAAAGAAAAAAATCTACCGATGGATAAGCTTATTTCGGTGTGTACTGATGGTGCTCCGTGTATGGTGGGAAAAAACAGAGGATTTGTAGCGCTTCTTCGTCAACATGAAAAAAGACCAATCCTAAGTCTTCACTGCATTCTACATCAGGAGGTGCTTTGTGCTCAAATGTGGCGAGCAGCTTGGTGAGGTGATGTCACTGGTCATTCGGGTGGTCTACTTTATTGTTGCCCGAGCTTTAAATGATCGCCAGTTTAAGACACTGCTGGATGAAGTTGGGAATCATTATCCCGGTCTGCTTTTGCACAGCAATGTGCGTTGGTTGTCAAGAGGGAAGGTGCTCAGCCGTTTTGCGGCTTGCCTGAGCGAAATCCGGACTTTTCTTGAAATGAAAGATGTCGAGCATCCTGAGCTAGCTAACACTGAGTGGCTCCTGAAGTTTTACTATCTTGTGGACATCTGAACCAGCTCAATGTGAAAATGCAAGGCATTGGAAATAGTCTTATCCCTTCAACAAGCAGTGTTTGCATTTGAAAACAAGCTGGAACTCTTCATCGTGGATATTGAAACAGGTCGCTTACTGCACTTTGAAAAACTGAGATAATTTAAAGATGCGTGCACAGCAAGTGACCCCATTCAACATTTTGATCTCCAGCAGCTAGCTGGCTTCACATCTGATCTCCAGCAGTCATTCAAAGCACGCTTTGGATAATTTCGTGAGCACACTCGTCTTTTCAAGTTCATCACTCATCCACACGAGTGTGCAGTGGACAAAGCCGACCTGAGTTACATCCCTGGTGTCTCCATCAGAGATTTTGAGCTGGAAGTTGCTGACCTGAAGGCTTCAGACATGTGGGTGAATAAGTTCAAGTCAATGAATGAAGAT